CCCACCTACGGCCCCATGAGGCGCTCTCTTCTGCTGCTGTTGCAACTCGAGCATCAGCTTTTTTGCGGCCACCTCCAGCCTGCGGATGAAGGTCACCGGCGAGCTCGTGCACAACGAGTTTACGAGCATGGCGCCGGCTCTGGTCTCTGCGGCGCCACCTGTCGCCGCAAGAACATAGACAACGGTTCAAAGGCGAGGTGGTGAGTTGTTTTGTCCACGTCCATCCCATTCTGTTTTGTAACTTACGCGGGTTAACCCTTGACCGCACAGAAGATCGTTCCACCCTTCGTAGGGTCAGCACGGGACGTTGTAGGGGTATCGCACGGGGGTCACACCGGGTTGTAGCACGGACAGCATAAAGCGGTCACAAATAAGCGACGATTATGGCACGATACAAGTGGGGGTGTGGTGTGTTTGCCTCCATGACATCACACCAAACTCTAAGGTCTCGTTCCTGAACAGCAGCCGACCCCAGTTGCAAAGCACCGATCAAGTATTGGTGCAGGGATACGACGCGTTCTATTCTAGTTCCCGCAACAAGGTGGCCCTCTAATAAACGTGTTATATGATCTTGGAGAGCAAGATAGAGGGAGCAAAAGTAGGGCAAGAGGGGGAACAAGAGAGGAAGATACGCGGTCCTTGCACAGGAAGGACAATGAATGGACATTAACACCGAGCGGAGTCTACGAAACAAGAAATCACCTGGGTTCACGTGTGTCACCATCAAAAACTCGGTCCGCGAAGGGTCACCCGGGACCGGTCGCATGAAGTTTCCGCTGCGCGAAAACGACAACGTGCGTGTGTGGGGGCAGTCATGACCTTCGCGCAATAACCTGTACCCAGTGTTTCTCATCAAAACCTACATGGGCGGAGCCTACCCAAGGGCGACGACCCCTACCCGAGTACCAAAGCACTATGATCTGCAGAAGGCTCTACCAAAGGGTATCGTGCGAGTGTGCGCGTGGCTTATGGTGACGAACGTTAAACGGGGGGCTATGTACGTAACACACAACACGGGGTGAGCGAGTCGCCCAGCGGGGGGGGGCGTTCGACTGTTTCCGTGTCTCATGGCAAACCTTGTAACTATTTCCGTTACTGTAACGTACGTTAGGAGCACAGCAGAGGACGACATGGAGAAACCTTGCAACAACTTCAATTCCCGTAAGGTACAGCAGTAGCAGCACACCAGAGCACAATATACGGTGAGAATCTACCACGTGGCCACATCGATGATCCCACTCACGCCAAGAGGATCTCGCTCCGAACGTAGCGGCTGGTGCGGGGGGCCGCCGGATGCTCCACCGGCTTCGAGACCTGAGCCAAGGTGCCATCGCTAAGCGTTCGGAAATGAACCAGCGTGCAAAAGTCTCGAGCCTGTAAATGAACGTTTGCGAAGGGCATGGGGTTGGGTCGGAAAGCGGACCTTTCGATGTCCTTCAGCAAAGGTGTTCGAACGGGATGATTGCAAGGGAAAGAATAAACGACATCATGTTTTCATTGCCGACGTATGTAGAGCCTCGCCGGCTCATGTTGGGGACTCGGTCAGACGCAGTCCATGTTCCTGTTTTCTCACAGCCCCCCAACCCCGCCCGACCTCCTGCATTGCTGCTGCGTCGTGGGATCTCTTTGCCTCCTCCCTGTCCGCTGAAAAGGCTCAAACGACCCGGAGGGTGCAACCACTGCTGTCGGTGGAAAATTCACGATCACCGCCAAACACAGGCGAATAAGTACCCACCTTGAAGGGACCCATCCGCCCGCTGGCGGCCCACGTGATCTTGCTGTCTTGCGATAACACCTCCAGGTCCTTCACCTCCCGGCAGTGCTCGTTGTACTCTCCCACCCTTGAGTTGTCGGCGAACAGCAGGTACACCACCTCCGGGGGAACGGAGAGGATGGCGCTCGCCTTCACGCACGCGAACTGCGGGGGCTTGGACTTGCCGCTATCGTCGCCTACCGGCACGGAATCATCGGCGGAGCCCTCGACCCGCCCCCCTACAAAAGCAGAAGAAGCCTCCGCCTTAGGAACTCCCGCGGCCTGCGCCGGCGCCGCCGGCGCCGCCGGCGCCTCCGGCGTGCCGTCGGGGCCAAGCGCAAGGTACTGCCGGTGCACGACTACCCCTTCCCGTTCAACGACCACTTCCCACCCATCCCGTGCAACGACGTCCACCACGTTCTGCACGATCTTGTCGGTGAGCAGCTGCAGCTCCCTCATCTTTCTCCGCTCCGCCTCGCCTTCCTTACCCTTCCCCAGTTTCCCCTCTCCGCCCAAGCCATCGGGGTTTTGCTTTTTCCGCAGGCCGAGAAGAAACAGTTCCCGGCCGCGCCGACGCAATAACTCTGCGCAGCCTGCGATCCGGATGCCGACATTGCCGGAGGCTTTGGCCGCCGATAAGAGTCTTTCTGCCCGGCGGAACCCTTCGCCCGTGAGTTCCGAGAGCTGGGCTGTCAGCTGGGTGAGGTGCTGCCGTATGACTATCGCCGCGGCCGGGGTGGTTTCTCTAGCACGTCGTCTTCTCATGCGCCAGGCGTCCAGGTTGGCAGACAGCTCTGCCCGCATACGCCGAAACCGTGGGGCGCTGTCGTTATCGCGGTCTTTTCCGTGGTAACGATGTCGTCGCCGCCGTCGCCGTCGGTAGTGTCGTGGTTGTCGTCCGTACCCTTCTGCGGAAGCAGACTGCTGTTCGTCTGGCTTGAGTGTTCGTTGAAGGGCAAGCGTCGATCCCGAAGCGACTATCGCTGCTATGGTGGCACCCCAACACTCGCGATCGGCTCCCTCCCATTCCTCGCCCGCCGGCTCATCGTCCAAAACAAGGCCCCTCTTGTGCCATGCCTCGAACCTTCCTGTCTGAGGGTACCGGCTTCCGAAGTCCTGCGCTCGTGGGGGAGTGCAGCCGTAGTGCGGGACATGTCGCCGATGCTGTTGTTGATCAGGTAATGCACCAGTGGCACCCCCAGACATCGAGTGACACTTCAACAAGAGCAGCGTTGCGGCCAGGATGGCCACCCGCTCTCGAAGCATAAGGTTTTCTGCCTCTCTGCCTCTCGCCCACGTGCCCTGTGTGTCTCGCACGCCGGTGTGCTTGGTGCTGTTGCAGTGGCGTCTGTGACAAGGGGCCCGCGGGATGGAAGCTAAGTGGGGGTGGTGGTGAAAACAGGTTTTGAATAGCCGACGTTGCGTTTCGGCGAAACTGCCGTTATCGCGCCGCAGGGAAGGAGGCCAGCGGCGGGATAGGTGATGAGGTGATGCGCAGCTCATGTGCAACAAACCACTTCTCATACACACAATTCAAATTTAAAATCGAACCAGCACTTAGTCTGTTGAAGCAATGGACATTCTTACGTGAACCAAACGTCCATTGATGTTGTATTCCCACTCCTTGAGCCAGTCTGCAGTTAGGGTTCTGTGTTCTGTGGTTCGCCGGTCTTCGGCGCACTCTGAGCAATGGCAACACTGCAGGAATCCCAGTACTCCGTGTATCCCATGGGAGCAGCTAAAGCTGCAGCACCTAACTTTAGTGATCTCGGCAAGCCGACGGTCACTGTCGACGTCACGCGCCTGCAAGCTGAGCTGAGAGCGTTGCACCAACGCCTAGAGTTTCTAGAGGTTGCCGCCCAGGTTGCTGCGGTAGAGCACGCGAAGGATCAGGATCCAGACGGGGGATCAGCATCCTCGACAGCCGAGAGCATTCCTAGCGCCGTCGCTGCAGGAAGGGAGACCCGTCCCGATGAGCTCGATGGTGGTTGTATCGCGGACGACCTGACGACCGAGACGAAAGCGGGGGAGATGCCACACAGGTACGAGTATTGCCAGCGTTCATGTGGGGATTGCGTGTTGGCGGGGGATGTCTTTGGGGAGACAAGCATGTTACGAGCGTGAAATATGAGCTACTGTATAAAGGCTTGTGCTTTGTGTCGCATGCCTTTCAACTGCAGATTGTGCAGGCTTCGAAGAACGAGCGTGGGACGGGCGTGTTGGTGCGACTGGTTCTTCGTTCGTATGTGGTGTCCTGTTCCGCGTACAATTACCATAGGCTTGAGACCTGCATGGTGATACTGAAGCCCAACACGCGCTGTACATCTTCAGCTCCATGGCGGACATGCGCTCTAACCCCCTCCCCCAACTCTACCCGCTACCCTACAACGTTGGACATCTCAGCACATGAAGACAAGGCCGACGTAGACATCTCAATGGCAACAATGGCCGGCGTGCAGTAGTTTAGCGCTGAAGGCAGGCATGCTTCCAAGAGTAAGAGTTACGCCGTTGAAGAGGCCACAGCAGCATCCTTTAGGTGTCGTCTTTACCTCGCAAAAACACAATTTAAAACGGCCTCCTCTTCTTGGGTCAGTGTCCCCCCCCGTTCGTCACAGCCACTTGAGCCCCCACGAACGCGCTCCAATTCCCCCACGTGCAGCCCGGTGATGCGCAGCGCTACCGGCCTTCGGAAAAAGGCCGCAGCGGCGAGTGCAGCCATGCAGGCGGAGGTCCGGGACCTTTCCGACAGGCTCGAGGCGCTCGCTTCCTCCTGCAAGCGCCGGGAAAAGGCGCAGGGGATAAGAGAGAAGACCAATGCCCTGGCGCAGTCGATGGAGATCAAGAGGATACAGGTCCTGGTCGCTGCCGTTGTTGCTCGTCGACCTACCATGAGCTACCCATGACTCGCCAAGGGCGTAGGGTTGTATCGGCAAATCGCCGAAATTAGCCGGTCTTTTGAGATGCACAGGAATATGGAAACTCGAGTGAGATGTGCACTTGCATTTTCAGCTTCACGCTGATCTTTTCGTGCGCACTATTGAAACAACTCGACGAGCTCACGGTCGTGCTCTCACACCATGCTTGTAGGGGGAAATTTCTCTCGTACAGCCGCATGTCTCTTGTTGTCGCGCTGCGTGGGAGTCTCCCAAAGTCAGTGATTGAATGGGAGAACACAAAATGTTTACCTACGCGGGACAACCTTTGTGTTCAACAGAGCAAGAAGGGAGACTCGTGCTAGCAATATTACTGGGGGGGGTTGATAAACGAATGACTTTCTATTCAGTCCGTCGGAGGACAACGAAAACGGATTGCCTTGTGCATATTTCACTGCAGGTAGGTTTCGCGGAGCCAGGTCTTATAGCGCTGCACCCTGGTCGAACAATAGAAGTAATCCCCCTTGACGCAGCCGGAGTATTGCGATTCCGCAGGTTGCCTGAGTTACCCTGGAGTATCGCCCGTAATACCGGGAGTGTACGGTTCTCCAAGTGGTGAACACAGACAAGAGAGAGGGGTAGAGAGATACGTAAAGAGAGAAGAGAGAGAGCAGGACGGAACAGAGGAAACAGAGACAGTCGGCTAAAAGCAAGATAGTCAGAGTGAGATCAACCAGGGAGTTGGAACCTGGGAAGGCGGCGAGACCTGACGGTTCCTGGTACCCAGCCTCAAAATGACCGCGGCCCCGTTCCTCGCTCCTGGCTTCTTGTGAGGGCGAAACACCGATGGAATTGAGGCAACACCACTTGACTGTCCCCTTCCTCCCCCTGGCATTTTTTTCTACAGATGGCCATCGAGTCCCGGGTGACATCCGACGACCTGCAGCTCGCTGTGAGCGCCGCTGATGACAAGATTGTTGCCGTACAGTCTTCTGTTGAGTCGGCGCTGAGCGACCGCTTTCGGAGGATGCAGGATGTGGTGCACCAGCAGGTGACTCTTCCGTTGTGAAGCTCACCCGCTCGGTTGCTCTCTTTTCACGAGTTCATCACCAGTTGTTGTTGTTGTTGTTGGTGTTGTCTTTACATTAAAAAAAATGTTCCGGTCTCGGCTCAGTACATGTACCTTCTAATATCCGTACTGGTCCAACTGACGCAGACGCTTTCCAGTGTCGGTGAATATTCGAACCAACCGCATGTTTCGTCTCGAAGGCGAGCGGAGTCCTTCTTCTTTCTTTCTGGGAGAACTTCAAGTGTCCCCTCCCCATACGTGGCAAGCCTCCAAAACATGCGCGAAACGTTAGAATGTTGGCCGCGGTTAAACTGGTTCGGGTGAAGGTTTGGGTGGTGAAACCTCGCCGGGACTCTGAAAACCTCCTGGCGGGTGGGCGTACCCTTCCGTTTTGCATGCCCTAACGGCTAGACCATTGAGCACGCGTCCTCGAGAGGACGGGGCTTTGTTCTCAACAGGGGGGGGGGGGGCTGTTTGCGCTGGCCGTCGACGAAAGGTGTACACAGTTTCGAGAAGGGACATAGCGAAGTTTTTCTGGCCTCTACCGTAAGTTAAATTGTCTGTTTGTTTCGGCCTCGGTTGTGTGCGTGCGACCGCTCGGCGAGAGGTGGCACACGCCAGGAATCGGAGTTCGTGTGACGCGTGTCATACCACCGGCATCATGACAATTCGTAGCCACATCGCTTTCGATTACACCAAAGAAACAGTTTGGGGTTGCTACATATCGTGTACCCACCACCTTCCTTCGCACACGCCGCCACTTCGTGCGTACACGTCAAAGTGAGAATTCGCTACGTTTGCCTTTTACGGACTGCTTTTTCTTTGTTTGCTTCGCGAAGGCTTTTCCCTTGGTTCTGCATACACGCCAACGGTGCAATTCTTTGTGCTCTGTATCTTACTATGTATCTTCTTTCGTTTACGCAAGTGAATTATTTTGAAATGGATGAGGGTGTCGCCCTGCAACATAATCCTCTTTGTATATTTTCAACCCACACTACCTTGGTTCGACGTCCAAGACGGTGATACGTCCCTCAAAATACATGGATGGAGCAACCCAACTAGAATTTTTCGCTGAGTGAAGACAACGAGCCATCAACAAGAGCAACAGTATCAAGATCAATGAAGCCGTGCGTTGACGCCATCGAATACAATCCTGATATAGAAGCAAAGAGCACAGACGCCCACCGACACTACCACACGTATCATCGTTCACACTCCCAAGCTTTTCCTTTTCCCTTCTCGTACACCCACGGTAGATGGCGAGCTTGCTGAGCATGGTTCAGGGGCTGACCCAATCGCAGGCCCGCAGGAAGGGAAGTGGGCCGTACGTCAACGCTCGCGGCAACCTAAGGTGTGGCAATGAGCGTACGGATGACGGGAATTATGCAGGGGCTCCTAGAACACCGCACTCTAGGCAAGGCTCACACAGCTGTTTCGCAGACTAGGCTTGGCAGGCGAGTAGAACACAGAGTAATACTACAGGTCAACCTGTCCTGACCGAGCTGGTGTCGACCGGTTTGCCTTTTTTGTTGGCCAAATCGTGGTGGCGGCGGCCCCGACGGCAGCGACGACGGTGACGTCGGGGGCCCCGTATTTATTTCCGTACCCTCACAACGCCATGGCAATTCGATGGCTTTCAACAAACAACAGCAGTTGTCTTATTTCTTCAACGAGCTTGCCCTTTTTTGGTTGGCAAAATGGACGATCAGTGGCGGAGGCTACGGTGGCGGCCCCGACGGCAGCGACGACGACGACGAAGAGGCGTCGGAGGCGGAGACCTTCAACAAGGCAGTGAAGGACGCCGTTGAAAGGGTGTTGCAGGAGGGGAGAATCTCGGGGGGAAGCGGGCAGGGAGACGTGAAGATGGCGGACTTCGAGAGCCTACAGGTGTCGTCCATGTCTTGCTCAAAATGTAGTGGGCCCTTGGCCACAGAACGAGGCGCTGGTCGACCCTAGCAGTTGGGACCACCTTCGCGAGAAATTAAGCTTATGAGGAAATAGAACAGGGAGGGGGTACGCAGAACCTACCCCTACCCCTAACCCTAACCCAACTTCCCCGATTACATGCTTTATCCAACATGTTTGCTTAGTCGAAAAACCCTGCGAAGGCTACTGAGTAGTTGATAGAGGTCAACCCACCAGAGCGGAGTGTAATCTTCGACCCTGGCTCGGTATATTCCCGTTCGCTTGTTGTTTCCCCCCCCCCCGCGTTCATGGTGGTCGAGTAGATCATGTTGTGCGGGGTCGAGAACCCTCACTCCGCGCAACGGGGGATGGTCGCACCACGTTGTGTTAAAATGGTCAAGCTTCCTCGAGGCAGTTACACAGTGCTTACAACTGTCTCTGGAAGTGAAAGCACCAGAAAATAAATTAAGTCATACGTAGCTGTCATCCGTACGCAAGGAGGTAAGCACAAGATGCCGAACACCCTTAGCAGGATGCAGCTCACCCTTCATGCGACTCGCCAAATACCTCACGGCGCTTCGCGCTTGGTGATGTGAGAGCCTGGTCCGGTGAGAACCCGGCGTGCTCCGTCCCGGCTTTGTAGGGATGCGAGGTCAATGGTCAAACGACTACGGCATGCACGACTATGACTATGAGTACACCCCCCCCCCCCCCCTCCCCCGCGTTCTACTGGTCTTGCCTGGAAGACCTGGGGATGAAACGCACAAGACCACGTCAATTCCCACACTTTTGCATCATCCTTCCTCTCCCTGCGTGTGGCCCACCTGTCTGGCCCTGCGCCGCGGTTCCCCCTCCGTCTCGGCCCAGCCGACTTCAACCCAACCCCGAACCCCGAACCCCATTCCAGGAGGACTACGAGACGTTCAAGGAGCACATGGAAGAGAAGGCCGACCGTCAAGATGCCATCTCCTCATCCCTGGAGGACGCCCAGACAAGGCTGGAAGACGCCGAGGCTAACCTCTCCGCCCTCGCGGAAGAGCTGGAACACTCGTCGCAGGACACGCGGGTATGACAACGAATAACCACCGACCGTCTCGCGGGGCCGTGGCTAGGACCTTGTAGGGCTTTGGGGCTTAGTAAAGCTTGCAGAGCCCCCGAAAGACAATGCTGGAGCGCCGTGGTTTGGGCTCAGTAGAGCTTGTGGTCAGGCTTAGTAGGGATTTTAGCCAGGGCGTAGTAGAGCTTGTAGAGCCCCCCGAAAGACAGTGCTGGCAAGGAAGAGAGAGTGCGAGGCCTCACCACGAACACAAGCGCGATCGACCATTTTCACGCTCCTCAGAGAGCTAGGCTAGGCGCCGTAAGACACGCGAGCAACACAACTTGAGAACAAGCCTCGACGTGATCCCCCCCCCCCCCCCCAAGAAAAACAAAATCGGAGTAGCGTACTTACGGAGGAGTTCCGATGTACGGTCTCCCGACAGTGGGAAGGCTGCCAGAGCCGAAGGAGATGTACTTGAGTCGAAATATTTGTTGAAGGGGGAGACCTCAGCACCGCCGCCGCTAGTATATGCACAGGTGTCGGCACCTTGTGCGTCGTGGAGCATTCGACAAAAGTAATTGCTCGACGATTCCACGAAATGAATTGCTCGACTAGAACGTGGAGGGGGAGGCAGTGAGTTAGCTGCGCCATCCAACACAACCAATACGCGGTGTGCCTCGCCCAACCGCCGAAGCTGCAGAGGAAATCGAACACATGAAAATGAGACAAAAATGAAACAACAGAGAAACAAACACAAGAGAGACAGCACCCAAGAACCAGAGTGATATATCCCCAGCCAAGGACAATACCTTCCGTTCACACAAAAAAAAGACAAAAAACAACCCACAATAAACAAGACATGAACAAGCAACAAGAATAACGTGGCGCACACAAATGGGATAACAATGAGCAGGAGGGGCCCGATCGAGGACTATTCCTTCCATTCACACAAAAAGCACAACAAAAAAAACAACCTATGTAAATTAAGAAAAATATTAGCAATAAGAACAACGCGACGCACACGAAACGAAATTACAATGAGCAGGAGGCGATGGACGCCGCCAGCGACCGGCAGTCCGACCTTGACACCCGAGTGCGCAACGCCACCTCGCTTGCGGCCGATGCCAACGCGGAGTGTGCCGCCCTCCGGTTGCTGGTGGGAGACTCGCGCCGGGAAGGGCAGGCAGATGCTCGACAAGAGGCGGAGGCGATTACGGCGAGGGCGGAAGCGAGGGTGAGTTTTTGTTGCTGTTGTTTTGTTGGGTGGTGTTGGTGGTTGTGTTGTTGTCGTTGTCGTTGACGTTGTCGTTGTCGTTGTCGTTGTCGTTGTCGCCTCTGCCTCAACATTCCTCCGCCCCATCGTATTCGGTGCTGATCCAAACAGAAAAGGGCCAGGGTCGGTGCACAGACCATCAGTACAGGGTTCACCACACCAGACAAAGCCCAAATGCAATAATCCAACTACTGCTTTTATTGCGCAAATAAGTACATGTTAGAGCCTAAGGTATGGCTGGCCCTGGCTCCTGAGATATCCCAAAATCCCGCTGGAAAGCACGTACATCGTGGAGGGTACGGGTGTAGTGCTATCCTTGGCACGTAGCAGAGGAGACTTGGGCAAGACTGTTTGGCCGGTGATAGAGTACTACGAACGCCGAGTCGCGAGGAGGCTCAACTGCTGCACGTGTATTATTAGCTCTTTCCGCACATAAAAAGCAAAGACATGCGCGTCGGAGGGATTCTCCTTTCTGCGTGACGCCCGATCAGAGCTGTTCAGCTGTGGAGATGCAATACCGTACGGCAGGAAGAACTTGCCGGCGATGGTGACGAGAACACTTAAACAACATTACATAGTCACATCGTACAAACAGGAGGGTACCACCCTGTGCTCGCGCGACATGCACACAACTAAAAACTCCCTCGTTCTTCCCTGGATGTACTAGCCCATCCTGACAAATCCCGACCTCAACACACCTTAATATTCCATCAACACTCCATCAATACTCTACGAATACAATTCGGACAGATGAAGGCGGAAGTGAGCAAGGCGAGGGGGGATGCCCGGTCAGCGACGGAGAAAGTGGGGTCCGAGCTGAAGCGGCACATAAAAAAATCGGAAGACGAGGCAGAGGTAAGGGCAAGGGCGAGGCGACCACCTTCACAGATGGAAGGCGCTTGCTCGTGACAAAAACTTGAACGAAGCGCAGCTGAACCCCTCTTGCGCGGTAGAAGTTGAACTCATACACACCCGCAAGCTTCAGTCTGCGTGACCCCAAATCAAAGTTTGTCAGACGAGAGAGGCAAGGCCGTGGGGATTTTGAAACGTCGAGTGGCGGTAAATCAAACGGAAAGACGTTAATGCGGTGGAATATCACGCCCGTTGCAACATGGTAAAGAAAGTGGGATCTCGGGCACATATGAGGGCCTTGGTTTCGCAAGTGGAGATATACTCCTCATGCTCTTCCAAACTGCCACGTATTTCTTCCTTTTCCACCATCATCCAATCTTTCGTCGTACCGGCGTTGGAAAATTACGTTGTGCACTGCACTGCACCAATACTTTGACCTGTGTTGGGTGCACACGCGGAAGTTTCTTCACCCGGACGCCCCCCTCCCCTCCCGCTTTGCATCCGTTGGTATCGAACGACAAGTGTAGATTGTTTTTCTTCGTGGTGGAGGTCGCCGAAAAGCATGATCGTACTTCATTCAGCGAAAAATGCATTTTTTTATTGAATTGGACTCTCCTTTCTAACGTGCTGCTAGAACTCCTTTCGGCCTCCGAAAGACACGGTTTGCCATAGCCATACCTCTCTCGTATGTCTATCTTTACCCTGGTGGGGGTGTGTGCGCGCTGATTGAAAAAGTAGCCTTCCTTTGGTTGTGGCCCCTTCAGGGGTTTCAGGGTGCGGTAGCGGGGACGAGAGCTCTGTCCGAGAAGGCGATGGCGGGCGCGACCGCGGCCGCGGCGAGGGCCGACGAGTGCGACGCGCTGCTGCAGAAGGCGGAGACTAGGATGGGGAAGCGTCTCGACAAGGCCGTTCAGAACCAGGTGCTCTACTGCCGTCGTCGATATTTCTTTCCTGCTCCCGTAAACTGCAGAGCGGGCAGTTGTTCCAACACCTTTGAAAACCCATGCCTACCTAAACAATGGCCAGCTCTTCGAACACCTTTCACAACCAACCCCACCTCAACAAAAAAAATGGCCAGCTCGTTTCCAACACCTTTGCCACCCCTGACCACCGAAACAAGAGAGTGGCCAGCTCTTCGAACACCTTTCGCAACCAACCCCCGATGTGGCAATTGTTCATTGTAGATGGCCGCGCGAGTGGGAGTCAATCGTGGGGAGAGGCTCACACAGGACGGGCACCAAAGCGAGTGCCGTATATGACACAAGATATCACACCCCCTGGACCGATTTTCAAAGCTCGATTACTCCACGACGAAGAGGATGTAAAAAACGAAATGATACATTGTCGAAAAGCTATATCTCGACGAGATGGTTCCAACGCCGCCGTTTTTGGCGCTGTGATTCTTCCTGCTGTTAAGAAATCGAGCTTTGAAAGTCGGTCAAGGGGGTGTGTTATCTTGTGTCATATACCGTTTTCTCCAAGCCAGCGTCTCAAATCTCTTGTTGCGTTGAATTCTCCGACTTCGGCACTTACCGAGTAGACGACCGCAATAGAGGACACGCTGGAGAGGGTGGCCGCGGGAGAGTCGGAGCTGGCTAGAGCAGAGAGCGAGCTGAGGCGTCTCATCGCAAGCAACGGGGCCGAGATCATGGACTTGAGGACTGGGCAGAGCGTGCTGGGAGAGTCTTCAGAGTGAGTCTCGGTTGTTGTTGTTGTTGTTGTTGTCGTTGTTGTCGTTGGTGTCGTTGGTGTTATGTTGTTGGAGTTGACAAACAACAAGAAACACACACAAGGTGCTCTTGGGTCTTCTTAAGCACGCCTCGGTCACCCTTTCAGCATCTGTTCACGCTTCTTATCTTCGCTTCGTCCAAACACCATGGGCCAACGCGGTGCCCTCATCACCCGCCCAGACAAGCAACGGAGCAACTACGAGAGGAAGTACAAGATGCTCTCACCACGATGGTCATAGATCAGGTGGGTCACCATTGCTAAGATACCACCGCGCTCGTCCTCATGCCCCTTTTCGCTCCTACCTCGAATCTCAATGACCCACCCTTGCGTCCTGCGTATTTATAGTGGTAGGTGGTACCGGCGGTATACTCGAAGTTAAACCATAAACCTGCAGCGGACCATGGGTTCGAGAGATCGTCCGCGATTATGGCAAGTAGAATACATTTTCGTACATCGATTCATTACTTCGAAACGACCATCCGACACGCTTGGCTCGTGACCACTCCTCCTGTTGTTCTGCCCTTCTCGAGAGGCACAAGTATATCGGGCAACATACAAGATCGTCGAGCACATCTACGCAGTTTTTTTTTTAAGTAAGGAAACATGTCAGATAAAGTCTAGAACCGGCTAAGGTTGGGGTTCGGGATAGGGTCTGCGTGCCCCCTGCCTGGTCTTTTTCGTAATAAACTTTCCTTCTTTGCGTAGGCAGCCCTTAGATCGATTCCTTGGGGGGGGGGGGGGGTCGATTGCGTAGCCAGGAGAGGCGGGGGGTCTGCGGCGTTGACCACTCAGCATCCGTGTCAACACCGTTGGGTAGATAATTCCTCCCTCCCACTTTCCAAGATAGGATAGGGAAAACCTTTTCGAACCACGTTTGGCATAGTAGGAAGGAACGATTGGCCATCGGTGATCGGCCTTGTGAGAACAATGCTCCTTTTTCTCGAGGACACGTGGTCAAAGGTCCAACCGCCAAGGCATGCACAACACGAGCACACACCCCCATGCCTCTTGCCCTTGGCATGTCGTGACGGTTGCGGTGCGTCCTTCCACCCTCTTAAAATACCCATCTCTCCCAGCCCCCTTCGTCGACCCTGGTACCACCTCGCCGCTTCTAGAGCTAGTTTTATCGCTCGTCTGTTTCTTTCTTCCTCCCGACCCCCGCCTGGAAAAATACCTTGTTTCCAGCCTCTTCGTTTCGCACCGTACCCTGACCCCCTCCCCGGCCCTTTCGCCCTCTGGCCGAAATTCAGGCAGTCCAATATCAACCTATATTCTTGGCTCCGTCCATACTTTTATGTTTTGTCCCCACGACGTCTCTATCTTTGTCGAGATCTCAGCTGGAACACTTCCCCTCCTCTCTCCCCTTCCCCCTCACGAGAGAGATGCTAGGGTACAGAAGTGCGCCTAGGGCAAGTGCTGACTGTATGAACGGGTAAGATGCAGCAAACAACAACCACAACAACTAATCGTAGTCTCATCTTCCTCTATTACCATCACCCCAACCGCTACGCAAGGATTTCATCGACTCTCCTTCAAGTAGCAGCGGCGGCGGAGGCGGCGGGGGCCGCACCGGGGGCCGTGGCGGCGGGAGCGGCTCCGACAACAGCAGGGGCGGTGTGCGCTTTGAAGCCTCCCACGGAGGAGGTAGCGGAAACAACTACAGGAGCAATGACTTCGTGGACCGCTCTGCGTCGGACGTCGCCCGGCTGAGCCTCGCTCACCTGGGGACTGCGCTCAGGCGGCAAGGGGAGGATGCCGCGCAAATGGTGCGTGTTGACGCTAAGGTTGCCGGTGTTATTCTCCGCGCGGTGACGAACACTTTTTGGCTTGCTGGGTTGCTGTCCCTGTTGCTCTAAGTGACCCGCCGGTTTCGGCATCGTGTCTCGATTTTCGACGACAAAATTGCTATCGAAACACCGAAATGTAAGGTTGTTGAGAGCTGATTGATGAAGGCTAGTCCATCGAAAATTGCTGACTGAATGGCCTAATGGATGAGCCTTTGTCCATCACAAGCGAAGGTTCTTACGCCTCCGCAGTCGCCGAGCGGAAACACATACGCCTTGTTCACATGAAGATCCTGACGAGGCCTACAATACAACGCTAGCGCTCCCTGTTTGGGACAGCCGTAGCCAACATCTCTTCCTTTCTGTAACATCGAGGTGGACCCTGTACTCACAGGGCCTCTACACTCATAGACGCCATCCAGAATCAGTTAGCTATTTTGCTTCAGATCAGAGCAAACGATGCGCGTCACTCATGATCACAAGCATCGCCGGTCAAACTGATGAACAACCTTTCTCCTCTCGTGGCAATGGGGACCGCGGACGAAAAAAGGTATCGACCCTGCAGAGGTCGAGTGTCGGCATCGTGACGGTGCTCAGGAAGATGGAGGCCGGCGTGCACGCCCTATCTACAAAGGATCTCTTTTGGAAGGTGCCGAGCTTTGTCGCTACCGTTGCTGGTTGCTGGTGGTGGTGATGGTGTTCGCTTTTTCGATCGTTCGATCTTGGTTCAGAGAATAACCAGACCAACATTTTTAGGGTACATGTATTGGGGTTGGCTATCTTTTCGACCTGATGAATAGGGACCAGATCGCACTAGGTTTCTGTTTGGCGTTCTCAATACAGCTCGAAGCAAGATATTTGACCAAGACATCGACACGATTTTCGTGCCCTCGATGTCTAGGCTGTGGACGTGAAGCTCGCCGCGCACCAGAGAGCAGTGGGCGAGGTGTGTCTAGACGTGGAAGACGCTACCGTGAGCCGACGGAGCCGCATCACGTGAGTCGAACTCGAACCCGGATGAAAAGCGGGGAGTCCATCTAAAGGGGAAACGGAACGGACAACTGAGGGAGCGATCAGAGAGAGACACACACACAGAGACGCAAACATATTGACAGAAATAGAGGGGGGGAGAAAGAGAGGAGAGCATTGTCACCGCGATTCGTGTCTCCATCTCGTTTCGTGTGATGTATCGTGGCTCAAGGTAGTGTGAACTCCTCCGGCGCAAGGTAGTTTTTCATTTCTCGTTCGAGCAAAGGCATCATCACGCGGGCGACGAAGAGAACCAGGCGTTGCTTATTTTCCCCGGTGTCGTAGCCAAGGCGTAGGCTTTATTAGGGTTGCATTGGGAGCTCTTAGAGTGGGATTCTTAAGACGTTTGTCATTTTCGTCAACGTTGGTTGCATGAAGCGTCGTCTCTTGACCCCGTAGCTGCAGCCACCGCTAGCTTCCCGACACAAGGAGGCTAGTCTCGCTGGTAAGGTTTTTAACGAGTTTTCTCGTCGTGACGCACGCGTTTGAGCGTAGGTGGGGCCTCCATATTCGACTCGATACTCAGCATACGAACATTATGAGAAAAAATCGGGGTACTTTTCCGAAAAACAGGGTACAGTTTTTGAGAAAAGAAGCCACGGCAGGGTATACCCTGAGCTTTTTATGACGCAGCGGGGTGAGAGTGGGCTTTGACCAATCGTGTGAGTGCATTCCACGCTGCTGCACAGTATGTACCCTGCTGAGTCGCTTTTCGACCAGGGTATACCCTGTTGTGTCGTTTTCCCAAAATACAATGTCTACTCCCAATTATCTCTTCCTATCTACTGGTCTGACGTTTCCACTGAGTTTCGCAAGAACGCACCACAACTCACAACAAAAAAAGTTCAGCATGGGTCTCCACCAGTAAGTAGGCCTTGCCGGCGGCACTGCTGCTCCAATTAATATACGGATCGTGCGTTCAAGCCGACAAACTACAATGCCAACGATAGGCTCTCCAAAGAGGCACAGGCATGCCTGGCGGGGGATATGCAGCGTGTGGCCAAGCTCATGGCCGTCAAGGCAGACTACGAGGTGATCCGAGAGCTGGCGAAGCTCGATACCCCGGAGCAAACAGGCCAAGACTGGGATGAACGGTAAGGGTACCCCCCTTGTTAGACAAAGGTTAATCCATTGGACTAACACTGTAGATCTCGTGGATTAGGCTGACTGGGTAGCATTACGGATTAACCTTCATGTATCAGAAACTTATCTAACCCCCCCCCCCACGTGTCGTCGCACCCCTGTGCCTCCCGCCCTTCCCCCCCGGGTGCCTTATGAAGTGGGTGCTTCGTGCTTGAACCGCAGAAGCAACGTGTAAGATTCGAAGTGAACACCATTCAGGACGCGAAACGAATAGTTGGTCCATCCACACCAAGGTTGAGGAGGAAACTGACCGGGAGCACAGGCGACGTTTTATTTGCCATATCAGACCGAAACCTCTCCACCTGACGCTCGATAAACGCCCGCCGTGACACGTCCACGTGCTTCTGGTGTTCGATGAACGCCCGCTGTCTCTCTCCACGTGCTCCTTAGAGTGGAGTTCCTGCGGCAGACGCAGATGCGGAGGTTCTTGAAAGACTGCAGGGACGCTTTGGACAAGACCGCCCCCGAGGTCCGGACGAATTTCAACGGGGAAGAGATCCGCGGAAAGTTCATGGGGAAGCTCAGCGACGGTGCGTTGCCACTCTCGTCTAGCTTGCTTCTCCAGAGGCGTGTGTGTGTTTGGTTGTTTCCGGCGACTCCACAGAACTAACACATACCTCCTTGGCCCACGAAGTTCCCCAATGTATGCTGGTTCTGGACGCAGCAGAAAAAAATCATACCAGGGACGCAGAATGCAAACACTCCGCTGAGAAAACTAAATAGGAGTATAATAGTTTCGAACCATGACTACAGAGGAAACACCCGCACTGAAGAAGCTCTTGTTTTGGCCGACGCCGGGGGTTCTTCGTTCCTAGGGTTAAGGCTACAAATGACTGCAAAATACCGTAGGTATTAATGGTTCTTATCCGGGGTCACAAAAAGGTGTCTCGAGCTCTTGGGTTTTGGCATAATTCGGAGCATGAACATAATTCTGCCAAGTTCTCAGGTGTAATTCTGCCACGTTCTCAGGTGCTTGAATAGCGCTTGCTGTACGCTCTGAGGATGGGAAAGTTGAGAAGAAAGCACCCGTGTTGAGATTCCGTTCCCTCCCAGAAGCACCGCCCAACCCGGCCCGCCCGCCCACCCACCCACCCACCCTGCCCTGTCAACGCTCGCGCCACCCACCACCACCATGGACCTTCAATCAGCCCTCAAGGTGGCGCTGTCAAAGTACTCGCCGACCACCCCCGGGGCGACTCTATTCGGCAAGATTAAGCTCAAGGTACAGGAGCCTGTGTACATGTGTTCTTGTTGAGTGATCAGCTTCCGTCGGTGTCATCCACGTCTGCGCTCCTAGCATGTTCGCAGACTAGCGTGGTAGGCGAGGGAGTTATCCCTTCTCTCTCTGTGGCGGGGATGTTCAAGGTATCGGTAACAGCAGCAGTGGTAGTGATGATGTGATTTTTCTGACATTTTTCGGCCAACCTGGCCTGTCGGCATTCTATGAGAGGGTTTTCGTCCTGCGTTGTTTGACAACATGCCCGTGGCTTTTCGTTAACCGATCGTTATTGCGCGCCCCTCTTCTCGTGGTTCGGCAATACTAGCCTGTCGGCCGGATAACAAAAGGAGCCGGCGCGTGCGCGATTCTTGGCAGGACATAGAAAGCACCGCCTCTCCACTCCGGCGTAAAGAAAGCTCACCAACAACAACTACATGTAGACGCGGATGTACTTACTACAGCTGAAGTCTCAAGGCAGGGTTCGCGGGGCACGCCGAATACGCACGTACGTATGCCCAGGTTGAACGCCGAGGGTGCCCTTAAAATGTTCAGCTCTAACCGTCCTTAGACCCCCCAACTCCATCTCTGATCCTTACCTCTTAGGCCAAAGCGTGCCTGGCGTGCGACAGGCCTTTCACACCATCGTCGGCTACGGGAAAGCCAGGTCCTACCCCACCGGGCGGTATCACTGGCGCCGCTGTAGAACCAGATGGCATTCCGGAAGAGGTAACGAGTGGCGTGGTGTTCAATCCAGGAGAAGGGGGGTCACAGCAAACAATCATTGGTTAGAATATATCCCGAGGAACAAAGAACGAACCATCAGTGCCTCTCCGCATTATCCAGAGTTAGTTTCCCGGGAACAATTTCCTTGTGTCCTGTCGCCGTAATAGGGTCCCTTTCGAACTCCGAACACGCGTTCAGCTGTTGCAGTTTTTCCTCGCCCCCGCCTACTGCATCGACTTTATTCAACCACCCACGTTCCTCGGTGTTGTCCACCTCTGCCATTGTTAATTGAATTTATGGGTTGTTGCCAGCGGTTATTGAGGGCCTGTCTTTCAGCTAGAGTGTTTCAGCCACGTCTCCATCTCCATCAGTACTAGTAAAACATATCATGGAGGACGAAGATCGACTCAGTTCGACAGCTGCTACGACCTTCCGGGGAGGTCAACATAGTATCGTGCTCTCCTCTGAACATATGCGTAACGACACTCCCATGTTTTTACTTCTGGCACCATTTCAACAGAACTCTCACATCACGAAAGACACATTCCGGCCGCACACCTCACATGGGAGGCTTGGCTCGCCCTCTCGCTCTGGGTCCATCGAACTCTTTGAGCCGCACTCATCTATTCACAGGTGCGGATGGATATCGATTTGCGCCAAATCAAGTTTTTGACTGGACGTTCAGTGGTGTTTTTCTTGCTGGGTGGGGCGTGTCCACAATGCTGGCGCCATTGCTTTCGATAAAACAATAGTTCAATCGTAGTGGTGTGCTGTGAAGCATCTCTAGCTGTTGCTCGAAAGTTGTCGTTAGCTGCGCCGTTTTCGCTTCAAGCACCCCGGGAAGGTATTCACAACCTGAATGGGTCGAAACGGGTAGAGACAGGCTAGCTACCAGATGGCCGCCTTACGTGCTTCATCACAACCCTCAATACTCAATCACGACCGGATGCCTAACGTCTCCTCCGGGTGACTCATAGCACTCAACCCTATTCCGCGCTGAACGAAACTCAACGCAGCTATCGTCGCGTACCGACAGCCAAAGCCCAATAACTGTGACACCACAGGATACAAATAACCTTGCCATCCGTCGCCGTCACTCTGCGCACGCCTCGAGTAAACGCAGCGTCATGTCAGGGAGCCGATCATCGTCGCACTCGCCGCACGTTTACCGTGGTGGTTTCAAGCTCCCCAAGCACCTCAAGTCTCCCCTGCACCTGCCGGACGGGGAGGATCAGTCCGCCTTTGGGATCGGCCACGCCTCGCCGCTGCTTCACAAGAGCCAGTCCATGACCGGCCTGGGCTCTCACAACAACAACGGTGCGCAGTGATATTATTGCGTTTCGTGCTGAGATGGAAATAACAGCCTAGAGCGTGTGGTGCGGGGTACTGGTGGTTCTCCGAGGAGGTTTCAGCTTGGCTAGCCCCCCCCCCCAAAAAAAAAACGCTTTGTCGTTATTTCGTTCGTTCTTGGTCTCCTCTAATGGACCTGATTAGTGTCGAGAAATGACAAGGCACGGTCATCTCTCCTGGAGGGCCGCATCACGAGGGGGGCTGCATGTAGTCGCTCCAGCCATGCTGTGTTCCTGTATGTTTTCTTTCGCCCGCACGCTCCCAGTCAAGCCAAGACCAACGACACGTGAGCCTTGACCCAAACCCCGTGTACATACGAATAGGTCGACCTAGCACGTCCGGGGGGGTGCGGCAAAAACGTCGACCACCAAACGCCGGAAAGTTCCATACCAGTAGTCCCCCAGCCACGGGGGACGGCGACCCCGACGCAGGCCTGCAGGACGGCGGAGGAAACAGCATCATCAGCGCGTTCACCGCAAGAACGGAGTACGCTGCTGCAACGCCCAACGCTGGCGAGAGCGGCGCCGAGAGACTGGGTTTCGATGACCCACCGGCGGGGACGTCGATGCCCTACTTCGCGACGAGCCACACGCCATCGCGTCCGGGCGTGCAGCACGACGGGAGCGTACGCCTGCTGACTTGAACATGCAGCGACAGACCCATCTGGAGACCTATTGGCTACAGATAGATATTATTGTAAGCGCGCATGAGGGAGGAGGTATGTAGTGCGAATGGTTTGGGATTCAAGGTTGGGTTGCGAGTGCGTTTCACGTAGCACCGCCGCTTTTGACGCCAAAGCACGATTGTGAGCCTCAGGTAGCGGCATGTGGATTGCATGCAGCGCGTTCGAGAGTAGTCCAAACTGCCGCGACCAGAGAAGACACCGTACGATCCTCCTGTCCCGTAACTTTGTGTTTTGTGGGAGCTCTCAGAGTCATGGCAACAGTTAGTGCCGGGGACGTCACCCGATTCTCTTCGCTGCTCGAATTGTGGCCAGCCAATGCCACTGTGCACAGAGTTGTCCCAATGTGATGTGAAAGTGGTGGGAGAAAATCTATTCTTCTAATAGTCTTCGTTCACGTACTCCATTCCGTGGTGCGGCTATGTATGAATAGTGGTGGATAGGTTGCCGGGTCTTTGCTTAATTTCAATAGTCTAAGCACCACCCGTCTGTATGAATGTCGTAAGACCATAACGATAGCGAAGCACGGCTTTAGCCTACATCTACATCCCCTCTTGTGACAGAAGATGTGCGTACGCCTGTTTCTGTTTTTTGGCGCCTTATAAGAAAACGAAACCTTTGAGAAATCCCTGGGCCGCCTCAGATTTTGTTTCGCTTATTTTAGTATGTTCCCGTTTTCATCATCACCTGCTGGTGGTGGAGTAGTGTTTACACATTGATAGTAGATCTTTAGGACTAACGCGTTCTGATTGTTCGGGCGTTGTTCGGCGTTGGTTCTGGCGGCCGATTCCTCTCCAGCGCCCTTTCCCCGTTCCGCATTCCGAGCACGCGGCTGCGCCGCTTGCCGCCCAGTTCGCGGCCGCTAGGCCGTGCTTTGGCCGTGTGGGTGAGGGCTAGGGTTAGGGTTAGGGTAGATGTGGGGTGAGCAACCGAGCCTTGCTCGCGTGAAGAACCTAGCCTTGCTACGTTCAACATCGGTTAGTCCTAAAGAGATACTATCAAAGTGTAACCAAGGCTCTATTGGTGGTGTGTCCTAACGAAAACACAACCTGCTCGCAGGATGTATCGTTCGCGTAGACAGGTGTCCATCTTCTCTCTGGCAAGGATGTTGGCATCAAATTTCGTCTTTTCGTGTGTTCTCACCACCGCCGCCTGCCGGAGGTGACAACATGAAATCATGCCAGCGCGTGAAAAAAAGAAAGCGCCAGACACCAAAGTGTTGGGTCTGCGGAATACCGATGTTCCTTTTTCATTAATAGCAAAAATATTAGAGGCTGGCCGTGGCGACTCTACCTACAGAACAGACAAGGAGCAGCACCAGCAAGCCCCGCCAAAACTATCGGATTCTCCTTGACTACCATGTTGCAGTAGTATAACTCGAACACGTTTGTGCGGGAAGTACCACACTACATGCACCCCTTCCGGAGAGTCTCCCTCACCAAGCAAAATTGTAGGGGGCGCTCGACTGAGTCTGCCCGCCCGTCCACTATGCACTCTTTCTAAAGTACGGTCGAGAGGGAGAGGTCAGGGCAAGACGGGACGAAGGCAATTCCCTGCGTGAAGCGATTACCAATGGGCTGGCTGCCGACCACAACGTCAACTTCGCGCTAGCTACCACAGAGTGCAAGCAACACGTTAACACACAAGTATGTACAAAAAACGGCTCTTTTTTCCGCCATGCGGCTATCCACGCCCCCTGTTATCAGTGTAAAGACCAACACCTTGCGTGAAAAACCATTAGGAACAAAGGAGCCACAAGCGTCATCAGTCGCCAATCTCAAAGCGCAACAACTACACCCCCCGGCACCCGCCATTGAGATCTTTCCCAGCCCCCCCCCCCCCCCGCCATTTGCCAAAAAACCCTAACAGCTGCTGCATGGACCAAACAAACTGAGCTACAAGGACAACAGGAGAGGCATCAAGCGCAGGAAGAACTGGCCAAAGAGGGGAGAATCTCACGGCAAGCCAGCATGTGTGTCTGAAAGCAAGCTGGGAAAAACATGGATGCACTCCGCGCGAACAATTAAGATGCACCGACCCGCGATCTCGAACAGGCTTCCCCCTCCTTGTCATGGTGACTGATCCACTTGTTTCTGGTCGTTCCCCCGCTTGCGAGGGGGAAGGAACGAATGCTTGCAAGGAAAGTCGCCGATACATGGACCAAGCACCGGCACGGCCGGTAAGCCGCTAAGCAATAGCCCGACCCACTTCTGTGATAAATAGCTATTAGAGTATAGAATACCAAAATTAGTGTATGAAGAAATAAAATCTACGTTCGGACCAAACCCAGCCTGGGTCTCTTAACATGAAACACTTTTTGTCTCCTGTACGAAATTTCAAAGAATGTCATCATACCTGTGATACCAGAATCCCTTGGAATGTTTAGAAACTTGTGAAAAGCTGCCAAGAACACACACCAATTGGAAGATACCCCCAAAAAACAAGCTCGGACCTGAGTTTCTTGCCTTGGGAACATAGGCCCCCTGCACGACGTTTGAACAAGATAAACCAATACCTGTGCTACCATCCCTTAGAATCTTCAGAAATGCAGAGAGATTAAGTCACCTTTTCACTGCTTCTGTTTTTTTCGCGTCTCGTTTACCGGTACCGATACTATACTACTACTGTTTGGGCAACTACTTAACTGATACACGTACTGCTGTGATGTTCCATTGTTCTACGAGACGCTAAAATTCTGTCGCCATCAAGCAACAGTCAAATATCACCCCGCCCCCCCCCTCCCATACCGGTCAGGCGAAGTATCAATCCGTGGTAGATAGCAGAGCACACGTCCGTGTTACCCAACCCGCCTACGTAAAAATAGAGCGAAAAAAAAAAAAAGAGTACGAGAAACACCTCCACAGCATTGCTGCAGTTCGAGTTTGGGCAATGCGCAGCGTGTTGAGCAGGCATTGTCAGCACTCCGGACTGCGAACAGAAGGGTACACACCACAAGCTGGCACCATGAAAATTCAGGAGGGCGTTCCAAGAGACTTCCGCTACAACTAAACACAACAATCCACCCGCATACATATAGAGCAACAAGAACATTAAACGACACCCAAGCATCGACAGGGTACACGACAAAAAGAGAGAAACGATTTTTTCTTGTGTTCTGACAAATATCTGCTGCTGGCGGGCGGAATCTCGTTTTGTTCTTCGATCGCCATCGCCAACGCTGATGCGGGGCGGTGCACACCTCTGTCGCCCACCATATGTTAAAAAAAAAAAAATCACACGACAGCACACAGCCCGAACGAAAAATAAAAACATCTACCCTCTCAAGAGCCAACGCAAGAGAAGGATTCAATGAGCCATACCCGGTAGTTTCAAAAAAGCTTATTTCATAAACAGAGGCCCGATCGGCCCACGACACCATCGCCTCAACTACGCGGAGAGATGGCACTCCCCCTAGACCAACAAAAGCTCAGCTGCGCCGCAACCAAGGGCGTGCGGGTCGATCCCAGCCAATTTCGAGATTTCTCCAAAACCACCAGTTTTGATGTTCGACACAATCTTTGGTTGTGGAAATATCGAGCTTTGAAAATCAGTCTAGGGGCGGGTGCCATCTCTCCGCCTCCTACGACACGTCGCTTCCCCGTTTCGGGACATTTTCAGAGCGCTGCCACAGAGGAATCCGCGGACGACCCCTGCTCGGTGGGTTCCGTAGTCGCGCGGGAGGCTTCTTTATTACTGCTGCCGCCGCCGCCGCCGCCGCCGCCGCCGCCGCCGCTGTTGCTGTCGACCGTGTCCACCGTAGCGTCGAGCTCCCAGCCCCTCACCATGTTCTCGATGAACACCTTCTTCTCGGCGTCCAGCTGATGAGCGCGCGCAAGATTTCATATTTAAACGGATGCAAAGATTAACACAAAAAATTACGACCAATTACCAAAAAAAGGGAGATTCGTGGTAAAAAATACGGCTGAATACCACAAGTAAGAGGCACATGCGTAGATGCATTGTAAGCACATTTTTTCTTTTTTTTTACCGGGAGGCATATATTTTCTCTTTCTCTTTACTTTTTCTATCTTTTTCCAATCTAGGGTTACCTCGCGTAGCGTGCAGAGAGGCGAGCGGAGTGGCCTAGACTATCTGTCGTTGACTTGTATAGGCTTGCGGACCCTTCGGGTCCACTTTATTTTCGTGTACCTTTTTTGGGTAAGTTAGCCTGTGACCACGGGAATCGACCCCGTCAAGTGTTAGACTAGTACGGACAGAAGAAGGTACTGGGTAGAGATATCGGCACGGTTTTTTTATGTGACAACAACAACAACAACAACAACAACAACAACAACATAGATCGGCATAAGGATCACGACCAAACACTAAAAAACAATAAATAGGAAGATGCATGGTCGGCGCATTTAGTTATATTGTTTTAGCCGGGGATACACAGAAAAACCTTACGACCAATTACCAAAAATGAGACGTAGACGCTGGTACGCGCATGCCGTGTATTATTGGCCGGGCTACATAGATAAGCATACATTACCACCAATCACCGACAAGGAAGAAGCAAGCGTACGCGCATTTTTTTTTTTTCGCCAGGATACATGAGATTTGGAGCACAACTACGACCAAATACAAAGCACCGGAGGAAGGGTGGAGGGAAAGGAACCCTTCTGTGTGACCAGTGATTGGGGCCAGCTCCTACACGGCAGAAATGTTGCGAGCTGTGAGCGCCGTTTTCAAGTGACGAATAAAAAAAAAGGAGAGGAAAACGCGTGGTACCCGCATTTAGTTTTTTTTGGGCCGGGATACGTGAGGCAACCACAAAAAATACTGCATCCAGCAGTTTTTGTCCCACTCACTGTAAAAACTTCAACACACTCCCTTTCAAATGTGGTTATATCTCGAACGGGTACATCAGTAATTGTACGTAGATTTTCTAAAAAGAGAAGTAACCGAAACGGGTATCCGGATGGATTATCACCACTTCAGGGTACACTTGGAAATCAACACAACACCAATCTCCGACAGCCTCCGCGGCGAAACCAATAAACCGCTGTGCCCTATGCCTCGGAAGCATGATGCATGAGGCAGGTCGTGCCAGTTTGTCTCTCTGTGCCTCTCTCTTTCTGTGTGCTTTTTCTAATGGTCAGCACCACACCGAACGAACTCGCGCGTCAAGCGAGTCCGACCCTCTGTCGAGAGGGGCCGGTATCCTATGGAGGCGGTGCCCATCAACGAACGAGCGTTGGTGGTGGTTTGGTTGTGGGTGTGTATGTGCGGTACACGGTTTTCCTACGGGTTCTATGCTTCAGCGTCGGGCGCCGGAAATATATGACCATTTCTGGGTACAAAATCGACCCCGTCCGGGTACAATAGTAACCAGTATCGGTTACACTAGAGGGTCGAGATGCCAGCGCCGGTTGTACCCGATGGAGGTTTCTCCAAAAGTGGGTACGATGGTGTTTCAGCCAATCAGCTGGCTGCCTGGGGGTGTTTATATGTTGAGTTCTAAGTGTACCCTACAATGGTGATAAACCACCCCGGTATACCCGTTTCTGGTTATTGGTCTTCTAAAAATTACTTGGAGTACCAATTACCAAAAAAAAAACACGAATATTGTAAGAGAACGAAAGCGTGTGCTCGTTTCCCATCACCACAGATAATGCATAGCCAGTGAAGCACGTGGCTTCCATTGCTTTCTGTGATTGAATATCTTTTTAATTATTATTTCGGCCAATTACCAAAGAAAAGAGCAAGATGCATGGTGTACCTTTGTTAGAAGGGTTCCTACTGTGTTCCCGTCGTGTGAAAGAACAGCAAACGTTTACACAATCGTTTCTTTTGCTCTTTCGCACAATAGGAACACAGCAGGAACCCTTCTGGAAAAAGGCACAACATGCATCTTGCTTGCGTATTTCTTGGGGAATTTGGCCGAAATAAAATAAAAAAGCAATGGAAGCCAAGTGCTTCACTGGCTATGCATTGTACATGGTGATGGAAAACGAGCAAACGCTTTCGTTCCTCTTATTCGTGTGCGTATCAGTGTTGAAGCTCAACCAGCTTCTCGGGGTCCTACATACGTTCGTCTATTGTCGGACAAGCAAGCGGATCAAAACAACAGATAGATGCAGATGCGCACGGTCAAGCGGAGCAGCTTCGTGTGCAAACTGGAGCACAAAGGGAGGAACAGCTGTTCGCTACACCTCGCGAACTCCGTACGCCACAGACTTGAAGGCGCTTTCGCGCTTCTCGCCCTGTTTCAAAGGACTAAGACTGACATCTGGTCATTGGTCGGACGCGCAAGTACGGTCGATGCTACTCAAAAGAAGCACATCACACACACACGGATATGTATCCCAGATCATGGCCTTGGGAACCGTTGGTTATCCCGCTACAAGGCTGACCTCTTTTCATCGGTCAGCCGGTTAGCGCGGTCGATGCTAAATAATAAAGAAAACACACACAAACACACACATACACACACACAATCACACACACACAAATACAATCACACACACACACACACAATCACACACACACACACCTGTATAGTGGCGCGGGTGTAGAAGACTATCACGAACGTTACCCCCCAGCGGCTGACCACCGGCAAGGCGAAAGAAGTACCGATTCCAATCTTCCGTGCCCCGTTGAGGCGAAGAAACATGGACAAGTCGAGGTTGACCACGTTCTCCTGCAGCCGGCGGGGGTGGCGAGAGAGAGAGAGTGTTGCGTGTACAGCATATCCACTATGCTACAAACCTTTGGTACATGCACTATGCTACTTCTGACTTGTGGACATCCTGTACAGCTAACAACAACTTCAGCATCCACAAACAAGGGCATCACCTACAAATATATATAGAACGGCAAAACACAAACAACTCATGAACGTCAATAACGCCAAGCTTCACTCTTAAGTCCATATTCTATACCAGGCCAATAGCAACAGCAACAACTCAACAATGACGCCAAGCGTCACGCTTGTCCATATTCCGTACAACAGCAACAGCAACAACAACGTCAACACAACAGCAACAGCAACAGCAACATGAACATCTACAATCCCAAGCTTCACGCCTGTCCATACACGTCCAAGCACTCACATGAAACTCGCTCTGGTTCGACCCGAAAACCCTCCCGGGGATGCCCTGCCCCTGCCGGAAAGAGAAATTTGTCGAATAATCCCCCCACTCGTCCAACTCCTTCACCTGCAGAAAAAAAACAAAAGTTGTTGTCTTCATATTAAAAACCGTTCCGGTCTCCGCTCAGTGCCTGCTAGTACCTGTAGTACCCAAAGAGGGGTACACCTTTCAAAAAAAAGAAAATTGGACCCAGAAAGTACTCCACCAAAGTGAAGTATCTTGTTGAACCTTAGATACGTCAAGGCGGTGCCAATATGCCAGGCTTGGGAAGTTGATGTTTTTGTTCCGACAACCTCTCGATCAAGATATAAAAGTGTCTGGGTGTGTTACGTGGTTTTGGGTATATCTTATTTTCGGTATTGGGGACGCGATATACCGGCACATCGAAACCAAGCAGCGAAAGAAAGATAGTCACTACTCTGAAGACAATATTCGTTGCACTTTGTTGGCATTTTGTAACATGTTCAAAATCGTCATCGGAGTTATTCACGAGACAGCAGGGATGCGTATTCCACATACTATCGAAGTATACTTACTAAATTAGTGTTGGGTGTGTTTTGTTTCTGGGCATTTTTAATTTTCAGTTTTGGGGACGAAATATATTTATCCGGCTGCGCTCTAAGTAGGGTCTCTCTCGCCCCCTCACGTTGGTGAAGTAGCCGGCGTGGAATAGCACCACGTCACTGCCCTCTTGATCTCGATCGCAGAGCGGCACCCATACATCCACGGCTTCGAAGGGAACCTGGTTGTTGCGGGAAACAATTAACGGTTCACGGTGGTGATGATTGGGCAAACATGACAACGGTGGGGGGGGGGGGCGTACTCATGATGCGGCGCAATTAAGTTAACAGTGATGATTGGGCAAATATGACCACGGGGGGAGGGGGGGGAGGCGTCGTACTCATGTTATTGCACGACT